TATATATATATATATATAATTTCGAATAGGCACAAATTAATATATATTTCTTTATTCTGAACATGTCGTGCTTCCCACCCTTGGCGCGTGGTTAAGAGTGGTTGATAGTATATATTCTTAAAATGCTTTTAAAAATTAATGCCTAAAAACGCCAATGTCCAAAATAAAACATCAGAATATTTCATAATTCGTACACATTTGTCAGAAGTCTATTAACATTTTCATTAGAATAAAGAGGAATTTCCCTACACACTGAATCGAACATCGAATAAAAAACTAAAACTATTTGTTGTAAACTTGTGTAACAGGGAAAAACAATACAGTAAGTGAAACAATTTATTGGGGTATCATGGAGCAATATATCCTCCAATCCCCAAAATTTTCCATGGTAGTACTTTTAAACGTACCGCACCTACCGCCCGCTGTCCTAAGAGAGCAGCACTTTACATATGTTGTTACTCGCTCCTAGCATGGAAGGCACGGAGGAGGCTGTGTCACATATACTACGACTTATTTAACCATGCACTTGACGTTAACCAGCTGTTCATGATTTGTATCCAATCAGGAGCCTAAACGTCCCCATAGTGTCGTCATTGTAGCGACATTTAAGCTCACGATACAATATAAATCGTAAGACAAAGTACCTTACGCATGCGTATGTGAAACGACCGTATGGTTGTTGATGGTAATCATTGTACATATTAATAATATAATAATACACGTGTGAACATTTTAGAAATGTTCTCTCGTTAATAAATTAATGTATTTCTGTGTAAATTATTCAACAATACTGAGATAATTTTTCGTCAATTTCCAAAGTGTCCGCGTTCCAGCAAAATGTTTGTAAGAGTACGATAACGTTTTATGTCGACACCTTTAAAACTTCTAAATAAATGCTTTGCGTCTTGTTCCTGCCAAAATATTTTTCTGGATTAATGTTGAAAAATTATTTTAAAGTTTTATTTCAGGTGCTGAGAATTTGCAGTTTTGGGTCTTGAAACCATTTAAGGTTTTGATCTTGCAGCAATAATTGGAAGATGTATTGAAGAGAAACTGCATATGTTGCCTGTAGAATAGTGAAATTAGTTAACAAGTGTATAGTTTTGGTTGTTTTGAGTACTTGTGAATAACTGAATGAGTGAAGTGAAGTGAACATTTGTGTTCTCACTAGAACAATGGCATCAAATTCAAAACAGTGAGTAAACCTCTTTTACTGGATATTATTTAATATATTCATTACTCTCATTTTCTTGTAAATACACAGGTACGGCTTGATCCTGCCCCAAAAAGCTAATCAGGGATTGGTAAGGGATCGGCCTTCAGTCTTTAATGACAGCAGCGAATCGGAAGATGACACTGGTGCTACAGATTGGGTCAGGAAAGCTCTAAAGGTAGTTGTGATTTGCTGTAAGTAATTCTTAGGTGAAGTTAGTTGTAGTAGTAGTAGTAGTAATTTTCTATGCAAAAATTTTGCAGCGGGAGTCTGAGAAAACATTCCAAAAGAAACAGAATCAGGTAAATATACAGAAAGCTCTGGAGGAAGATCCTACTGTTTATCAGTATGATGAAGTGTATGACACAATTGTGGAGAAAAAAGCGGAATTATTACAAGCTAAAAAGCAACAAGATAAAAAGGTATGAATTAGAAAGAGCTTTTGGACAATGTAGATAATAATTTAATATCTATTTTTGTTCATTGTAAGTGTTCTGATTAAAATTTGTTGTTTTAGCCTCGCTATATCCAATCTTTACTTCAGCAAGCTGAAAAACGGAAAAGAGAACATGAACGTCGCAATGAGCGAATAATTCAGAAAGAAAGAGAAGCTGAAGGAGACAAATTCAAAGACAAAGAGTCTTTTGTAACATCTGCTTACAGACAGAAGCTAGAAGAATTCAAGAAGTTGGACGAAGAAGAGATGCGTCAAGATGCAATAGAAGGTAAATTCCTACAATAACAATGTTTACGTGTATTGTTTCAGCAAAACTATCGATAGAAAGTAAGGTTTTTTTCTTTTGCTTTTAGCTCTAACTGATGTATCAAAACAGAAAGATTTAAGTGGATTTTACAGACATCTTTATCGGCAGACTGTTTCTGGAGAACAAGAATGTGTGCCTGTTAAACAAGATCCAGATGATCCAACAGAGAAGAGTAGTGAGAAACCAGAGCCAGCAAATGAAGAAACAGTATTTCAAAGTGAAACAGAAAAGAATAATGAACGTAATGTGTCTCCTTCAGGAAATGGTGTATTGGATTCTGTTGATAATTCAGATAAGAAAAATAACAGCAGGCGCTATCGAAGGAGAAAAAATTCTTCTGCTTCTTCCAAGTCTGATGATTCAACCAAACCGAGAACTACGGATAATGTAGATGCTGATTCAGATTTTTCTGTTGACAGTGATAGCTCTGAAAGTGGAAGTGATGAAAGCATAAAAGGTAAGGGCCAAGGATATAAAAAAAATGAAAAGAAAGATGTAGATAAAGTTGAGAGTGATGCAACTGCAGAAAACAGTTCTGTGCCGTCAAAAGGAGAAAAAGAGAATTCAGGGAACAATCAAAAGAAACGAAGCAATGAAGACTTGGTTGATACAACAAATAAGAAAATAAAAGTAGAAAAGACTGTAGAGAAGGAGGAAGTAAATCCAGAAATGAAAGTGCTTAAGCAAGAGAAGAAACCATCTGTGCCAAAACCAAATATATGGATAAAGCGAACAGTAGGAGATGTTTTTGAGAGTGCACTTCAAAGATACTATCAAAGAAAAGCAGATAAACTTGCAAGTAAAGGGTAATGTTCAAACAATGAAGCCAATTTTGTTTAGGAAATAGTTGTACTTAGGGAAATTGTATTTTAATTTTGAATTTATTGCCTCAAGAAGTTGCATTACAAATGAAAAGATCCAATTGTATTTATTCAGTATGTATTAGTGTTTATGTTTGAAAATAAAACTTTGGTG